AGGGGCGAGGCTCTAGTGGCTTAAGGTGCCCCTTTTTGATCCGGACCCCTAAGGCTTTGGATAAGGACATGTATAGAGGGGTGAAGACCCTTTGGCCTCGGGGTTGGTGCTTCGGGGTTTGTGAGGTTGTATCTGATGTACCGGCAAAAGGGTTGACAGTTTTCGATGTGGTGGTGACCATACCACATCGGAAGGCCTTGCAGCTGCACTACCACTCGTAGTCACATTAGAACTGCGCGTGAAAGACCTCTTAGGCTGCTCTCTCTCGTGGTTTATCAGACCATGCTTCATTGCATCCTCTATCTACACCCCTATTTCGTGGAGGTCAGCAAAAGTAGATAGAGGTAAGACTATCATCTTCTGTAACAGTCTTGGTTGCAGGTTACGGACCACCATTCTGATCTGGTCCTTTTCAGCTGGTCAGACAATCATCATAGAGGCCATAGCCCTCCATCGAGTCACAAAATTAGAGAAGCCCTCCTTCGCCTCCTAGCGAGTTGCTTCGAGATCACGAGTTGTGACCTCGATCTGAGTATTGTAGGAGTACTGTGCTATGATGTCCTTAGCCATTTCCTCCCAATTTCTCTTCAAAGAGTCTTCAAGTTTGGCATACCAGATGCCCGCTATACTCGACAGGGTCTGGCCAAAAAACGACAACTTCTGTAGTCTGGTGAGACCCATGGGTCGTAGGATGTCAGAGAATAACTGTAGATGGACCATAGGATCCCCGAAACCATCAAACCAGTCTATATGTGGCATTTTGAATCTGTCTGGCAACGTCACCGCCAACTCAGTATAGCCATCCTCTATATCATGGATCGAGGTGACACCCCGTGCTCGTTTAAAGAGCTTCTTAAGCTTGCTCACTTTCAGTGCAGTAGGGTCGACCTCGAATTCAAATGGCGCCTCTGTCGGGTAAATCGGTGACTTGGAGGTCTGAGGCGGGATAGGATCTTCCTGAATGCCCGCATTTTTCTGGACACTAATTGTGCCCCGGGTGCTGGAATTCCCACAGGGGATGCATGGGATGCTGAGGCTACTGTCGGTTGTGGCTGCTGTTGTTGAAGCCTTTCTATCACCTCTGCTTAGCGGGCTACAACCTCGGCTTGGCGAGTTGCGGTCTCAGCTTGTTGGGCAGCATCTAGCTGCATGTTCTCAATAGTCTGCTGGAGTTGACGAAGTATGTCTTTCATGTTGGCCGGAGGACTTTGAACCAGCGGAACCGGCGAGTACTCTCTATCTGGAGTAGAAGTGGATGATTGGGCCTGACTAGGCACAGGTGAAGTAAACGGTGAATGCTGAATTGGCAAACTCTGTCGAATCCTCCTCCGTCTAGTAACCGGTGGGATTGACAAAAACACTGGTTGTCCCCTGACTAGATCCCCAGATCTACAAATCCTTCTAACTCGGGTCCAGAGTGCTTGGGGGGTAATAGACTCGTCTGAAGCAATGGTGAAAGACTACCTTGCAAAAAGAAACAAATAAAGAAAAAAGAAAAAAAAAATCAGAAACCGCACAGCACCTCGGCTTAGACAGAAACAACACATAGTTGTAATCATAAGCTGGACAACTGTACTCAAACACTGATTTATGCCCCAAATTTCTGTCCTAAAATTGATACCCAGACTTGCAACTGATAAATACATTCCCGCAGAGTTTCACTCTAAAAACACATATCAAGCAAGTGAGAGCCAAAACACCCCTATGATGGGGTAGCGTTATCCTGTCCTAATTTCATCAGGAACTAGGGGTTCATTACGCAAACAAGCGGTTTCATACAATCTTGCATTCGGGTGAGTAGCCTGTCCTAGTTTTGAACAGTCTCTATGGCTTCCGATATGCAACTAGGTCAATTGGTCAAAAATGGGTACCTTAGCAAGACCACCTAATATACCTCCCACACCTAACACCGAGAAGTGAAAGGAGGATCAAACGGTATAGCAGTAGTCCAGATCCAAGGGTTGTGTTCCCATCGTGGCAGAGCCCGCAACCAGTCAGCCTTTTGGCAAGCTTTTCTAAGCGAGCCTCTGACAAACCGTTCAGGAATAGCAAATGGAAAACACTATGACTTAGGCGCACCAATGCAAATGCGAATGCAAAGAAACACGTAAGTGTAAATAAAACAACATATCATGAGTTCGAGTCAAGTTCTCTAAATCCCCAGCAGAATCGCCAGGAGCTGTGGACTCGCCTTTTTCCATGCCCCGCCTTTCGGAAAGGGTTTGAAAAGAAGGCCTCATAGTTCGGACTCCCGTGGTTCTGAATCTAATATCATAAAGTGCAATGTGAAACTGATAATCACCAAAGAGTCCAAATCCGGCAAACCTTTTTGAAAAATCCATTTTAAATCAAATAATGCCAAAATTGGATTGCTTTGCCAGATACAAAGTCGCCACCTAAATATTTTGTTTTGGAAAAATTTAGGAAACACTGACTCGTGCCAAAGGCCACGTGTCCATCATCACCATAATTGCCTCAGCTTGGGAACTTAGGTACGAGAGGGTATGAGAGGGAAAGGTCCTGAAATGAGCACCCCCGCTTGCCCAATCAAAGATCGGCCTCTACTAATCATGATATGTGTTTTTATAAACATTATGTGTTCTTATTCCAGCTATTAAACTAGTTTCACTATGTGACGCGCACACGCAAGTATAGACTAGTTTGCAAGACTTGAAACAATTCAACTCATGTTTGTTTGCGAAAATGGTTTGAATCTGCCACCCTCAAGTGGGCTTAAAGATGCAGTTTGCCACCAAACATAGTGGGTTTAAAACATGATTTTGCCACAACAAAGTGGGCTTAAAACCAACATTCGTTGAATCGTTCCAATTCAAACAACAAGCCTTCATTCACAGGCATTCATGCAGTTTAGCATTTAAGCACATAGCCTTATGGTAAGCATGCTATCATGGCAACATGTCAATTACACTCATGCAAGAATGCTAAAGCATAAAACTCACCGAGTACTCCAAGCCAAAACATAAACTAGTTAAAAAAGTGCATGATCCTAGCTATACAAGATGCCTAATGCAACATACGCAATATGAAATTAATAGGCTTGGTTACTAATATGGCATATGAATCAATTTGAACAACATGCGGTTAAACACGTATTCAAAGAAGTATCGATGGCCGGTCGGCTACTACTGGTGGTATCTGGCCAGTCCTAAAAGTAACATCTGCTAATCCCTGGTCGGCATCGTTTATGGTTGAGACTAGGATGGTATCTGATCATTTTCAAGCCCCCAACTTTCATTCTTGATTAATGAAAATATCCTTGGCAAATGCTTTCACAATTGTTCGTCTTTCATAAATCCAAGAATTTCATGTTTGACTATGAAATACGAATGCCCTCGACTGTCGCTGTTAATCATTACTCTGATCCTGAAGGCCAACGTAATAGGATAGAAATCCTATGATGTTATCCCATGCTAATGTATCCAGAGCGTAGGCTTGCTTTGAGCACTCTAATTTCTTCAAAGTAACAGCGCCGGAGGCATGACCTGGCCAATTAAGATTGATACCCAGTTCAGGAACACACTTGTGCAAAGTTTTCATTGATGGCTGGTCGGCTACTACTGGTGGCCGGTCGGCTACTACTGGTGGTCGGTCGACTACCCTTGTCCTGAACTTCCCTTTGAACAACATGCGGTTAAACTTTGCACAAGTGTGTTCCTGAACTGGGTATCAATCTTAATTGGCCAGGTCATGCCTCCGGCGCTGTTACTTTGAAGAAATTAGAGTGCTCAAAGCAAGCCTACGCTCTGGATACATTAGCATGGGATAACATCATAGGATTTCTATCCTATTACGTTGGCCTTCAGGATCAGAGTAATGATTAACAGCGACAGTCGAGGGCATTCGTATTTCATAGTCAAACATGAAATTCTTGGATTTATGAAAGACGAACAATTGTGAAAGCATTTGCCAAGGATATTTTCATTAATCAAGAATGAAAGTTGGGGGCTTGAAAATGATCAGATACCATCCTAGTCTCAACCATAAACGATGCCGACCAGGGATTAGCAGATGTTACTTTTAGGACTCCGCTGGCACCTTATGAGAAATCAAAGTTTTTGGGTTCCAGAGGGAGTATGGTCGCAAGGCTAAAACTTAAAGGAATTGATGAAAGGGCGCCACTAGGAGTGGAGCCTGCGGCTTAATTTGACTCAACACGGGAAAACTTACCAGGTCCAGACATAGTAAGGATTGACAGACTGAGAGCTCTTTCTTGATTTTATGGGTGGTGGTGCATGGTCGTTCTTAGTTGGTGGAGCAATTTGTCTACTTAATTTCATTAACGAATGAGACCTCAGCCTGCTAACTAGTTATGTGGAGGTAACCCTTCATAGTTAGCTTCTTAGAGGGGCTAGGCCACAGAAGTTTGAGGTAATAATAGGTCAGTGATGCCCTTAGATGTTCGGGGCTACACGCATGCTACACTGACGTATTCAACAAGTCTATAGCCTTGGCCAATAGGCCCAAGTAATCTTTGAAATTTCATTATGATGGGGATAGATTATTGCAATTGTTGGTCTTCAACGAGGAATTCCTAGTAAGCATGAGTCATCAGCTCGAGTTGACTACATCCCTACCCTTTGTACACACCGTCCATCACTTTTACCAATTGAATGGTCTGGTGAAGTGTTCGGATAGCGACGACGTGGGCGGTTATCTGCCGACGACATCATGAGAAGTCCACTGAACCTTATTTTTAGATAAGGGAGAAGTTGTAACAAGGTTTCTGTAGGTTAACTTGTACAAGGATCATTGTCGATGCCTCTGCGTAACAAAATGACCCGAGAACTTGTCATTACTGCTGGGGAAGCAGGAGGTGGGTCGTTGGCTCCCTCCTGCTTCCCCTCATCAACAGTGCGCTCAGAGCCCCTCCAAGGACGACAGGTGCCATTCCTCAACAAACCAACAAACCCCAGTGCGAATTGTGCCAAGGAACTCAAACAAAGAGAGCACGCTCAGTGCATCTCATGAAAAAACTAAACGACTCTTGGCAACGGATATCTCGGCTCTCGCATCGATGAAGAACATAGCTAAATGTGATACTTGGTGCGAATTGCAAAATCCCGTGAACCATCGAGTCTTTGAATGCAAGCTGTGCCCGAAGCCATTAGGTTGAGGGTGTGTCTGCTTGGGCATCTCACATTGTGTCACCCGTCCCTGAAGGGTAGTAGGTAGATGTTGGTCCCCCGTGTGCTTCCACAACGGACTACACGTCGTGACGAGTGGTCGTTGACAAACTGTTGCCTCGTGTCATGTGTATCTTAGTTGTCACGGGAGGTCTGTTGTGACCTTGTTGCGCCGCTACCAAGGCACTCCAATCACAACCCCAGGTCTGGCGGGATTACCCGCTGAGTTTAAGCATATCAATAAGCAGAGGAAAATGAACTTTCAAGGATTCCCCTAGTAACGGCTAACGAACCGGGAAGAGCCTAGCTTGAAAATCGAGCAACCCTATTGTTCGAATTGTAGTATGGAGAAGCGTCCTCAACAACAGACTCGGCCCAAGTCCCCTAGAAAGGGGCGCTAGAGAGAGTGCGAGCCCCATCGTGCCCGGACCCTATCACACCACGAGGTGCTATCTGCTAGTCGGGTTATTTGGGAATACAGCCCTAATCGGCTAGTAAATTCCTTTTAAGGATAAATATGGCGAGAGACCGATAGCAAACAAGTATCACGAGAGAAAGATGAAAAGGATTTTGAAAAGAGAGCCAAAGAGTGCTTGAAATTGTCAGAAGGGAAGCGGATAGGGGCTGGTGATGTGCCCCAATCGAATGTAGAACGATAACTAGCTGGTCGTCGATCAACTTGGGGCGTAGACCGATGCGGACTGGTCCGCCGATCGACTTGAGGCATAGACTGGTGCGAATTAAGGCAGAGGCCAAAGCCTTGGCAGTCGAAAAGCTCGCGGAGATGCCTTCGCCTTGATCATGGCTGGCAGTGCACGCCCTTAGGATTGCTTCGGCATCTACGCGCTCACGACACTAGCCTGCGAACTCCTCATTCAGCCAGTCTTGAATCATGGACCAAGGAGTCCGACATGTATGCGAGTCAACGGGTAAGTAAACTCGTAAGGTGCAAAGAAGCTGATTAACGTGATCCTCTTGTGGGTTGCACTGTCAACCGACCTTGATCTTTTGAGAAGTGTTCGAGTGTGAGCATGTCTGTTAACACTCGAAAGATGGTGAACTATGCCTGAGTGGGGCGAAGCCAGAGGAAACTCTAGTGGAGACCCGTAGCGATACTGACGTGCAAATCATTCGTCTGACTTGGGTATGGCGGTGAAAGACTAATTGAACCGTCTAGTAGTTGGTTTGCTCCGTAGTTTCCCTCAGGATAGCTAGAGCCCGGGTGCAAGTTCTATCAGGTAAAGCCAATTGTTAAAGGCATCGGAAGCGCAACACCCTCAACCTATTCTCAAACTTTAAATTGGTAGAACAACGTGACTGCTCTGTTGAGTTGCGCCATAGAAACGAGAGGTCCAAGTGGGCCTTTTTTGGTAAGCAGAACTGGTGATGCAAGATGAACCAGAAGCCAGGTTACGATGCCCAACTGCGTGCTAACCTAGAACCCATAAAGGGTGTTGGTCGATTAAGACAGCATGACAGTGGTCTTGGAAGACGAAATCCACTAAAGAATGCATAACAACTCACTTGCCGAATCAACTAGCCCCGAAAATGGATGGCGCTTAAGTGCGCGACCTATACCCGGCCGTCGGGGCAAGTGCCAGGCCCCGATGAGTAGGAGGGCGCAGTAGTCGCTGCAAAACCTTAGGCGCGAGCGACCGTTGGTAAGGATCTTGGTGGTAGTAGCAAATATTCAAAAGAGAACTTTAAAGGGCAAAGAGGGGAAAGATTCCATGTGAACAGCACTTGCACATGGGTTAGTCATTCCTAAGAGTCGGGGGAAACCCGACAAAGAGCGCGTTCAGTGTGAGCTTCGAAAGGGAATCAGGCTAAAATTCCTGAACCGGAACATGGCGGCTGAAGGCAACGTTAGAGAGTCTGAAGACGTCAGCGGGGGCCTCGGGAAGAGTTATCTTTTCTATTTAACAGCTTGCCCAGCCTAGAAACAGCTCAGCCAGAGGTAGGGCCCAGCGGTTGGAAGAGCACCGCATGTCATGTGGTGTTCAGTGCACCCTTGGCGGCCCTTAAAAATCTAAAACACTGTGTGCCTCCCACGCCCGGTCATACTCATAACCACATCAGGTTTCCAAGGTGAACATCCTCTGGTCGATGGAACAATATAGGTAAGGGAAGTTGGGAAAATGGATCTGTAACTTCGGGAAAAGTATTAGCTTTGAGGACTAGGCACGGGGGTTTTAGTCCTGAACCTGTCGACTCTCGGTGGACTGCTCGAGGTGCTCCCATGCCGAGAGTGGGTCATTGTGTGCCGGTTGGGGGATAGACTAGGAACGTTGCCTTGCAGGGCCTGCCCTGGGCAGTGAGCAATCGACTCATAACTGTTACAGACAACGGGAATCTGATTATTCAATTAAAACAAAGCATTGCGATGGTCCCTATGGATGCTCACGCAATATGATTTCTGCCCAGTGCTCTGAATGTCAAGGTGAATAAATTCAACCAAGAACGGGTAAATGGAGAAAGTAACTATGACTCTTTTAAGGTTGCCTAATGCCTTGTCATCTAATTAGTGACGTGCATGAATGGATTAACGAGATTCCCACTGTCCTTGTCCACTATCTAGCAAAACCACAACCAAGGGAACGGGCTTGGCAGAATCAGTGGGGAAAGAAGACCCTGTTGAGCTTGACTCTAGTTTGACTTTGTGAAATGACATGAGAGGTGTATGATAAGTGGGAGCCGAAAAGGGAAAAAGTGAAGTACCACTACTTTTAACATTATTTTACTTATTCAGTGAATCGGAGGTAGGGCGCTGCCCCTCTTTTTGGACCCAAGGCCCGCCTCAGCGGGCCGATCCAAGGGAAAGACATTGTCAGGTGGGGAGTTTGGCTGGGGTGGCACATCTGTTAAAAGATAACGTAGGTGTCCTAATATGAGCTCAACGAGAACAAAAATCTCGCGTGGAACAGAAGGCTAAAAGTTTGTTTGATTTTGATTTCCAGTATGAATATGAACCGTGAAAGTGTGACCTAACGATCCTTCAGACCTTCAGAATTTGAAGCTAGAGGTGTCAGAAAAGTTACCACAGGGATAACTGGCTTATGGCAGCCAAGTGTTCATAGCGACGTTGGTTTTTTATCCTTCGATGTCGGCTCTTCCTATCATTATGAAGTAGAATTCACCAAGTGTTGGATTGTTCACCCACTAATAGAGAACGTGAGCTGGGTTTAGACCATCGTGAGATAGTTTAGTTTTACCATACTAATGACAGTGTCGCAATAGTAATTCAACTTAGTACGAGAGAAACCATTGATTGCACAATTGATCATCGCGCTTGGTTAAAAAGCCAGTGGCGCGAAGCTACCATGCGCTGGATTATGACTAAATGCCTCTAAGTCAGAATTTGGGCTAGAAGCGATGCATGCGCCTGTCGCCTACTTGCTGATCTGCAGTTGGGACCGTTCGGCCCCCAAAGGGACGCGTTATTGGTGAAGCCCGCGCAACGGATGAGCCGCGCGGGCTGCCTTGAAGTACAATTCCTATCTTGAGCGGTGGGTAGAATCCTTTGCAGATGACTTAAATACACGATGGGGTATTGTGTGTGGCAGAGTGGCCTTGCTTCCACAATCCACTAAGATACAGCCCTGCGTCGCTCCGATTCGTCCCCCCCCTTTTCCTATCCCTCCTGTGACCGATTGGCCATGAACCTTAGAACACATAATATAGCCCAAGTGTGTGCCTCAACACTCAAAAATGATTTATGTGCATTCCAAAATGAAATTCCTAAGGCCTAAGGGGATTGCTAACAATTTACGATGAGTTGCGCGTCGGCAACACGTGCCGAACAAAGGATTTAATTTGCGCAACGGCCTAGGCTACGACACTTGGCAAGGTGTCAAGATACGCCCATCCAAGGTTTAACACCTTGATGCTACACTTATTTGTGCCCTTTGGAGAGCCAAAATCATGCCCAAGAAGTTGTTGGTGCAAGTGCAAACAAAGGCTTAAGGCATAGTGCAAGATAGCCCCACGACATGCCATTGGACAACACATGCAAGGCCGTAACCAGCAGCAGCCTTGCCAGCAACAGCCAGTAAGCCATAGCCTTGTCAGCAACAACCAACAGCCTTGCCAGCAGCTCAGCAGCAGTGCCCGACCAAGGCTGGTGCTGTCTGGCTTGCATGTGCGCGGCCTTGCTTGCATGCTCGCCGCCAAGGTTCTGGTACTTGACAAGGCTGTTGCACTTCGCAAGGCCGTGGCACTTGATAATGCCGTGGCCTGTTATGCATGTGCTCTGCTTAGGTTGCGATACATGGCAAGGTGTCAAGGTGCACCCATCCAAGGGTCAACACCATGATACCACACACATTTGGGCCCTTTGGAGAGCCAAAGACATGCCCAAGAAGTTGTTGATGCAAGTGCAAGCAAAGGCCCAAGGCATAGTTCAAGAACAGCCCACGGCAAGCCAAGAGATAGCATATGCCAGGCAGCAGCCAACAGTAACCTAGGCCGCAGCCAGCAGTGTACCAGGCCGCTGCTCAGTAGCAGCCCAGGCCGCTGCCTTGACAAAGCCCAGGCCGCGGCCTATCTTGCATGCGTGCGGCCTGGCTTGCACTCCCGCGGTGAAGGCTGTGGCGCTTGGCCAGGCCATGGCCTCACTTGCATACGTGTGGCCTAGGCTATGCCAGTTGGCAAGGCCGCAGTCTGGCTTGCATGCACGCTGCCTTGTTTGCATGCCCGCCTCCAAGGCTGTGGCACTTGACAAGACTGTTGCACTTGGCTAGGCCGCGACACTTGACAACGCCACTGCCTAGCATGAATGCACTCTGCCTAGGCTGCGACACTTCGCAAGGTGTCAAGATGCACCCATTCAAGGGTCAACACCTTGATGCCACACATATTTGTGCCCTTTGGAGAGCCAAAGACCTGCCCAAGAAGTTGTTAGTGCAAGTGCAAGCATAGGCCCAGGGCATAGTGCAAGAACATCCCACGGCATGACAAGAGATAGCACATGCTAGGCCGCAACTAGCAACAGCCTAGGCCACAGCCAGCAGCAACACAGGCCATAGCCAACTGCAGAATAGCTCGCAGCCTGGGCAATGGCCTGGCTTGCATGCTCGCTGTCAAGGCTGTGGCACTGGCCCCCTTGCAACTAGTAGCACGCCCAAGCTGCAAGGCTGCAGCCCAGGCCGCAGCCCAGCTGCCCGCCCTGGCCGCAGCCCAGGCCACAGATAGGCCATAGCACAGGCCGCAACACGTGCCAATAGTGAGTCGCAAACAGGCCAAAGGCAGGCCACGGCTCTGGCCATAGCCCAGCAACAACAGCCATGTGAGAACCCGTATTTAATTATTCAAAAAGAAAATAAATAAATAAGTAAATTAATTAATTTTATCCAGAGTCTATCCGAAATATATATTAGTGTATAAATTAGTTTTAATTTAACCTAATTAAATCACTAACAAAGACATTATTAAGAATAAAAATTTTGTGGATGTTCAATATGTATTGTTTATAAATTATTTTAATAAGGATTCAACATGATAATTATTCTTACTGAACACCTAAGTTAAAAATCTTATTTTATCAATTTTAAGAGACAAACACATGCACACACACACACACATACACACACACAAAAAATCAGACTTCGGCAGATTTTTCGATGGCAACATTGCCACTTAGTTGCATGCATGGTGATATAGAAGATAGTCCCCATTATAACTTTTCAAATTAGAAGATTTGATTGGACTAGATGAGAGAGAGAGAGAGAGAGAGAGAGAGAGAGAGAGAGAGAGCCTCGGGATTGAATTCATATATATATATATATATAATATATATATGAAAGCACTTGCATTCGGAGAACAGAAAAGGGAAAAAGAAGTCGATGAGCAAACTAAGCAGTAGGGAGAAGAGGAAGAGTAGGAGATTAAGGAAGCTAAATTTTTCTACCATTTCATCATCCTATTATTAAGTAAGAAAACCCTCTCGACCCACTTAATTTTTTTTTTTTAAGTTAAAATTTCAGATTGTATTCCTAGTAATAATTATAGATAATATTTTATTTATACTTGTATATAAATTTTGTGATTTGTATATCAAATATTTGAAGATATGGGTAGTCTTAAAGTCATGGTATTATTGTGGAAATAGGCTTGCATGTGTAGTTTATACCATTAAAGAGATGATTGAAGATTTTATTTGGCCCTAAAATCTACCAAACAGTTGTAAGAAATTTTAGACTACTCAAAATTTTGAGATGATTTATTCTACAAAGTTTGTTGAGAATTATGTGTATTCATCCAAGAATTTTTGCAACAATTATTGAGTTTTGTACGAATTTATACAAATTTTTAACCAAATCTGGAACTATAGACAGATTTTACTATATGTTTGAAAAATCATTAAAAATTCTATATTAAACCAAATCTAGTAATTTCTAAATAAAAAAATGAAAATTGAGAAGTCTAGTTTCATAATAAATTTTTAGATTATGGAATTGATTTATAAATTTAAGTATGTAATTAATTTAAGAAAAGGTGATAAATCCGTGTCATAAACTTTCTTGGAATTTTTCAAAATTGTTTATAATTTATTTTTGGAAAATGCTTTCTAAAAACTGACCATAACATTTTTATTGAGTATTCTATAGATATATATGAATTTTAGAGTTGTATAAGTAATTTATTTATGATTTTAATTACGAGATATACAATCTGACAATTTCTGGAGTTCGGCCTCAACCATATCCATCTCATCCATCTCGACTCAACAATCTTGCCTAATTCGCGTCATCAAGCTTTGCATCAATCCATGAGCTACACCGACTACTACACATACTGGCATTGGATAAGGAAGAACTAGCTTGAATCAACAAGTGGAGAAATTTTCAACACTTGAACTTATCAGTAGAATCTCTAACTTGAGCAACAAAAAAAAAAAAAAAATTGAAACTAGGGTTTTACGAAATTGAGTTCTAAAGGGAACATAAGTAATACTAGGGGCACTATGAATGATTAGTTACCTTGAGTTTTTTTTTTTTTTTTTTTTTTTTTTGGGCCAGTTGTGAGTTCTGTTGTGTCGTGCCTGGTGTTTGTCTCAGTCTGCACTATTTATTGAGTCACCATAGCGTGTCTATCGCTTAAAAGCGCTCTTCATCGAGTCACCATAGTGTGTCTATCACTCAAAGTTCTAACAGAGTAGCATCGCCAAAATTCCATACACGAGTGTTCGCTCTAAACTCAAAAACAAGTCCATGTGTGGAATTCATAAACAAACTGAGAGTGCCCATACAAGGGGCATCGCGTTTATGATCATTGCAAAGTATATATGAGGAATCTGTCACTACTTTGGAGGGGACTGGAGTAAGTTCTCAACAGGCTAGAACAGAAGAGAAGCATGAGTCTGATTGGTTGGCACCCATTCCAGGATCTGATGATCCCCGTTATACGTGCCTGCATTATGTTAAAAAAAGGTGACAAGTGACTGGACACTAGGAGCAATATTCAGTACATCTGATTGGGCCATCCATTGAGCAAAAGGCATGAACCCAACCGGTGGCCAATGGCCGGACACTAGGGGCAATTTTCAATGCATCTGATTAGTTCATTAATTGAACAAGGGGCACGAACCTAATGATGATTCTGATATGATTCTACTTTCGAAAGTTGTTTCTGACCATTTCAAAACTCTCTCAAGATTGCCATTTTCCCTCTGATTAATACATGTGTTTTATGCATGCATGGTCATACACTCTAGTTGATTTGAACTGCGTGATTGGTTGCTCTTGCTCATGACTTTGTTCTGTACTTAATAGAGTTTTGTCGAGTTGCCTCCCTTTATGTTACATTTCTATGAGTTGTGACAAGTTGCCCTACACTCATTTCATAGGGATGGCTATATTTCTGGGAGCGAACTCCGGGCGAATATGAAGCTCATGGATACAGGTTATGCCTTGGAATGAAAGATAATTCCGAATCCGCATTGTAACGGCCCTTGAAGTAAGATTGTGTGAAATTGTCTGATTAAGTAAGTCTTCCGTGTACTAAGGTGAGAAGATGATCATCATCTAAATAGAGATAAGTGGCTTGTAAGTATGTACGGAATTGATTACCGCCCCTAGAAAGGCCGCTTTCCAGCACTCTTCCTTAATGCCTCTTTGTTGGTTTTATTGATATTGTGAATAGAGGTCTTGCTATGGCCTTTGGTCTCTTTCATCTGGTTAATTTGAAATGAAACTTTCAGGGCATTGACTCAGACCAGGAAAGCATCCAATTCTAACAGCTAGAATCAAGACTGAAAATCTCGTCTAATAAGAAGAGCGCTAATTTCTGTCTTACATCACACTAGTCTCGTTCTTGAGTGGGGGGGTCGTGGAAGAAGTGGGTTCGATTCCCATAGCTCCCATGTGGCGAACGCGTAATAGTAGTAAAATTTTATCATGATATTTTCTGTTTTGTCAAGCCCAATCTTTCACGACACTTCAGGTTTACTTATTTTGTTAGGTCTCGACTTCTTTGCTATGATCTTCCCAATAGTTCATATTCAAATACTCATTATTGGTACATTTACTAGCATGAAAATGGGCTTTCTAGATTTCCCATCTAATTGAATTGTGGGAATATTATAATCTCTTTCATGAATTATTAGAACCCAACTCATCGGA